ACTGTCCTGCTGCATTTGCTCGCTTCTTTCTGAGAGTCATATCTAATCTGAGCTCTGGCAGGCACGTGTGGAGCAGACACATGCATGTCTCCCAGAAGAATTTTTCTTTTATCAGTTGTGCTCTGGCCTTTGTGCATTACAATCACATGCCAGTGGCATTTCCCCAGGGGATGAAAGCAGGGGCTTGTTTCAGGAGCAGGAATTTTCCTGCAAGACCTTCTGGCAGAAAGTCTGTGCTCTCTGCTTGCTGTGCCATGTTATTTCAAGGAAGCACGTCTTCAACCCCATAAGTCCTCTCCCTGCCTCCTGGTCGCTTATTTGCGCTTGAAATTTAGGAAGCACAACACTGCTTCTGGAGGCTTTTTAAGTATATTGCAAGCACGAGCTTGGTAAGTAGTGTAGTGCTGATGCACAGAGCAGCCCATGACTTGCCTGGCTCAGATCAGGTTGCGAGGCAATGGTAGGGGTGAAAACAGAGTGTGGCTCTTATTTCCAGTTATTCCTCAAACTGGTGCTGTTTCCACTCTCTCTGCAAAGGGTACTAATTGATCAGGCTTGTCCTAGGGAGTGATAGATGATGGAAAAGAGTTTTTGTTAATATATAGACTGCACTACTTGGGCAAATCTTTAGTTTCTGGTGCAGATTATTTGAGAGTAATCTTATAGGTCATTTGTCCTTGGTGCCAGGAGTCCCTGTCACTGTCCTGGGACAGGCGTTAATCCTCGCAGGGGAAATGCTCCGTCCAGCTGCACCGTCAGGCTTTGAGGCAAAGGACAGCTGCATGTGCAGCTCCAGCAACATACTGTACATCTGAGAAGCTCTTTCCTCATATCTAGATGGCTTCCCCTGTTCCTCCTTACCTCCGGAGTAAGTGACATTCAGCCCTGTGTCAGCCAGGTAACCGGAGATTTCCCTGTCCCTTCCTCTGCTCCACACGATTGCTCTGGCACTGATGTGTATGTACAGCGTTGCCATAAGCAATCGTCTTTTGTACTCCTCTTGCCAAACACTTGTATTTTCACGTATCACCCTAAAATGGGGCAGATCCCCCGTGAAATTGTGCCTGGTATTACAAGAAGCGCATGATCCCTGTTTTTCTTCTGGGCTAGTACTCTGACTGTTAACGGGGATGTAGCTCCTCGCTTCAGTTTCTTTTCCTTTTTAGTTGTAGTATGAGAGCTGCCCACACCGGCTATCTGTGATGCACCAGCAAGTTGTCAGTGAGCGGGATGCATGCTGCCTGGCAAAGCGCCGGCTCCGGCACACAGCTTCCCTTGGCAGCCTGCCTGTGTTTATGTACGCAGTGAGCTGCAAAGAAGTGGCCAAGAGAGAACCAACTGCGAGGAGTTGTTGAAAAGTTTCACGTAGTAGCATTGCTGGGGTAATGATGGCCTAAAGCTGTAGGAAGGGGAAAAAACATTTAGGAAGAAGTAATATCTTTAGGAGGCCAGGTGGTGCCTGGAGAAATTAGGTGGGTTCAGGCACATTTGCCTTTCCTCAGGATTTTAGTTTGCAAAAATGGATTCAACCACAAAGCTGTTCAGGATGCTGGAACTGGAAGAATCAGCTTTGTAGTCATGTATAAATGTTTCACATAACTTAGTCTGGCAGTCAATAGGAGGTCCCTTTTTGAGAAAGTAAAGTACTTTCATGCCCATCTTGCAGGTCAGTGCTTTGAAATCGATGCATCTGTTGGAGACGTGGCTGTTATGCATTTAGCTGGAAGATAGTATTATTGCCAGGGACTCTGCTGATGCAAGACACAGAGGTGATGGCTTGCCAACAGAAGGAATACTAATCTTTTGTTATTTATTCAAGGGCATCATACAGCAAAGTAAAACGAAATCCAGAGTGATCGCATCAAGTCCCTCATATTTTATGGACGCACAAATGCGTGAAGGAGGAGATCTAGTTTCAGAAGAGGTTAAAGGGAGAAAATCCAGTCTGGAGCTAGTCCTGGCCAGTTTAAAATTGCCCTCCAAGCAGGAAATGCTTTACAGTACTTAACGTGTCTTAACAAATCCACATGATGTAGGCTTTCTCCGGAAAGCAGGTTGGATAGTGTAGGTCTGTTCCTCAGCAAAACATCAGTGTCAGCTAGTGACTTACATGCAGGCATAAGGCAGCAGTAAGTGCCAGGCACAAGAAGCAGATTGCAAAAATAGCTGCAATTGAAAAGCCTAAAAACAATGGGCTCCTCTGGCAGGGATAAAAATAGAATTATTTTAACTTAGGGCATCTTGTGAGAAGAAGCAATAGTAAAGCAGGGAAAGGAGAATTTAGAGAGGAAAGCTAAACAAGCAATTTTCTGCTCTTGGATTACACCAGTGCAGATCTGTCATTGAAGTCATTTACACCGAGAACCTGTCTCAAAGCATTTCAGCAGCTGGAGGGGATTATTTAGATGGAAAGAATGTGTTCAGCATAGCTTGGCCAAATGACACCTATGGTGGACTTGGCAGCTGTTAGCAAGTATTTATAGGATGTAAACAGCAAGGGGAAAAAGGACGGAAATAGAGCAAACCTTGGGGAGACAGAAAAATGGGATAAAAATGGGAAAAGGAGGATTTTAAAGCTGTATGGGTTAGACTGTAAAGCAACCATCCAAGTAGAATGAACTAATTGACTTAATTTTAATTGGACAAAGCATTTGAAACTGGAGGCCATAATTTTGTACTTATAAGAAGGCAGTCGGCCTTGGCTGTTAATTTCTCTGCTTCTGTAATGGTTCTGTAGAACAGACAGGGAACCCTCTCCCATTAGGGGATTGCTGTTTATAAGATCAGATCAAATGTTCCACCTATGCTCTCTTTTCTGAAGGTAGGTAGTAGCGATTGCTTCAGAAATGAGTATTTGCAACAATTAGCAGCTTCTGAGCTTCCTGAATGCAAGGCTGCATCTCTGATTTTTTCATGTTTAGTAGCCATTGACAGCCTGGTACCTTTGATTCATCCAGTCCACATTTAAATCCATCTGTGATTTGACCTCTTCAGCATGTGGTAACAGTGGTTTCCCCAATTCGTGCTTTACATGCACGTGTCTGTGTGTAAATCCTTTCCTTTACATTAAACTTTCTGCATGGTGATATCATTGGCTGGCCCTGTGTGTGTCCTGTCAGTCATGATCTTCCCCAGTCGGAGATTTGGGTCTAGTTTCTTCTCACATTAAGTTCTTTCCATATTCTGGTCATCTTTTTTGCTTCTCTCTGTCATTTTCTAGTTCCGCTTTTTTTTTTTTTTTTTTTTTAAGTGAGAAGCCTGAACTTGCTTGCAGTTTTCAAAATTCTGGTCCATCCTAGATGTATGTTCTTATGTTTTCTGGTTTACTCTGGTTTTTTTGATTTGCATTTTGAATTTCCACTGAACACTAGGTTAATATTTTTCGGAGAATATCCACAGTGGTTCCAAAATCTCTCTGTGTGAGCAGAGATAGTTAAGAGCTCATTGCTGTAGGGGCATTGCTACTTCTGTTTTTTTTCTTGTCCCATCAGCACTGAGGTTCATCCGTTGTTTATCACTTGACTCCATCATTGCTCTGAGGTCCTTCTGCACTTCTGAATTTAAGGAATACATTTACTATCCTGAAGGAATTTGTATCATCCTCAAATGCTGCCACCTCATCTGCCCCTTTTCCTGGGTCTGTGTGCTGAATGAAACTCCTGCCTTCTCATCACCATTTGTCTCTTCTTGCTCTGTGTTTCCCATCTTCAAATTCATTATTAATCCATGTGGTGACCCATCGTGCAATCCCAGCCTGGCTGAGTTTCTTGAAGAATTGCTGGAAAAGACTCTTGTGGAAAGATCTCTGAAATCCAGCTGTTCTTGGCTGCTTTGGAAGAACCTTAGTAGATTTTTTGATGCATTGCTCCCGTAAAGCCATGTTGACTTTTCCCCTGCATGTCCACTGACTTGATTCTTGGCTGTTGTTTTTGTATCGCTGTCTTTCGTACTGAGGTCTGGCTAGGTGACCTGTACTTCCTAGGATCCTTGGGGAGTCTATTTGAAGATTTCTGCATTCGTGACATCTTTTTCTGGTATTGAGGCTTATTTAGCAAGAGATTGGCAGTTCAGCTAGTGCACACTTAAGTTCTCTTAGAAGGTAGCATTCATGTTTTTATGCTCTTTCAATGGCCGTTTGTCTGATAATGTCGTTTTTTCTTTTCTTGACACAGGGGATGCTCCCAAGTGGGCGTTATCAGAGCACTGATCGAAGCTGGCATCCCTGTAGATATGATTGGAGGAACATCTATTGGTGCCTTTATGAGTGCCTTGTATGCCGAAGAACGCAGCTACAATCAGATGAGGATCAAAGCTAGGCAGTGGGCCATGGTAAGCATTGGAAATGTTGCACTTCTGTCCTCAAATGAAGTGTGAGAGCTTAACCGCAAGCCTTAGCAGGCAGCAATGCACAAACAGCCACCCAAAGAGAGTGCAGCCATCTGCACTTCGGTGTCTGTATGATAAAAAGGGTCCCTGTCCAGCAGTGAAGGAGTGAATTGGGAAAGCTGCTCACTGTCACGCTGGCAGGCAATGCAGGCACCTGAGGAGGCAGGAGTCAAATGCTTGACTTTGCTCTGCATAAACTCCAGTCACAGTGTAAATGTAGAGTGATGTTGTTTAAGTGTGTTAGCCTGTGTTTATCTTTGTTTTATCTTCTGTTTTATGTGGTGGAATCTGTTTCCTTTCCAACTCTCAATGAATGTGTTTCTCTTTTGTATAATTTTCTCTCTTTCGTTCTCACATGCTGTCATTTTTCAGTGGAACTGATTGACAGAGGTAATCCTTCTCTCAACTAAATACAAAATGTGTAATTCATGGTGTAGCCTCAGAATTCCAGAGTGGTGGTACTCTGTGTCAGGAGAAATTTTTAACTTTAAATATTTAATACAAGCAAACCCATATTTTCATAGTTAAACCAAGGTTTGGGAAGATTGTTTTAAATAGTGACTTCTGTGGGTGAATTTATTGATAGGATGTTGGGGGAAAATTATACTGGCACCAGGTTACACCAGGTTCAGACTGACTAATGGTGAAGATTAGCATTATTTCTGAAGTTTGCTAGTTACAGTGTGATTCCAACTTTGTATTGGTTATACAAAAACCACATTTTCACATTGGTTTTCTTATTGAAAGGGAAGCAATGTGGGGGAGTTTCCTAAATTGGATTAAGTTCTGGGTCTGCTTAGATCTTCAGTTTTAGGGGGAAATAGGAGTCTGTAGTTGGCACATGTATACTGCTTACCTTTCCCAAGTGTCTTCTAACCTGCCACGGCTTTGAGACGACATCTACTGTATCTTGGTAAGGTGCCACTTACCTTGCAAGCTAGATGGTCTGGAGCATTAAAATACATATTGAGGACCCAGTATGTTTGTGCTCCCCTGGTGGTCAGAGGACTGTGGGACTCTATTTCACCTCCCTGTCACTGTTTGCTAGAAGAATGTGGATTTTGTGCTTTTTATTTAAGAACTGCCTGTGCCTGGCTGGGTTGGGAAGCACCCAAAACATTAACTGTTTATGATACAGAGCAGTTCACTGCAATCGCAGAAGTGGAGGAGGCTTGAGATTAAGGACATAAAAACAACTGTACTGAATCATATCAGACATCTATTTAACCTTGCACTCTTTATTTCTCACATTGGTCACTACCAAATGCTTACAGAACAGCATCTGAGCAGGGCAAGCATGTGGCAGTACCTCCCTGCAGTGTTTTCCTAGCCTCCAGAAATTTGTGGCTCACTGCCTTCTCTCCATTGCTCATGGTTAGGCTAGAGCAATGGAATTTTCCTCCATGCATTTGTCCAGAGGTTTATGTCCTCTTGTTTGTTAACATGTCAGATCTCTTCTGCGCAGGGGGTGATGCAGAGCTGGAAATGCTGTTTTCTGGGCTTCTCGGGGCTGTGCTCCCATGGAAGCCTGTTTCATTTCCAGCATTGCAGCTCTTGAGCTAGCCGGTCTAATCTGGTATCACACTCGCTTTTACCAGAAATAGTTAAAGATGAACAGAAGAAATTTAATCTGTTGATTAACTTTTGAACACAGAATGTTTCACAAAGGAAAAGGCAGGTTTTGGCCCAGCCTTGGACTGTTTCTAGTATTGGTACCTTGAAATCTGCAAATAAGTAGCTGCAAGAAAGGTTAATAACCTCTGTTAGAGCAAACATTTCATCTTATTAATGAAGAATGGGTTTTCATGATTGTTCTGACAAGCTTGCCAGGTCCACATCCAAACCAGAAATTGTTCAAGGGTTTGAGAATGGAGGGGAAAAAAAAAACCAAACCAAACCACTCTGAAGCCCTTTTCACTGTTAAGAGCATGGTCCAGCAAAATGGTTGCATTGTAAACTGAAGCAAGCCATGAAAACCCTCTCTCCAAGTTCAGATCACAGCTAATGTACAAAGTAGCTTGAGGGATTATAAATCTTTTTAACAGTGGCTATTCTTGAGTTATTTTCTCTTATATTGTGTCACAGAAACTGTAGACTGAGCAAGGAGAGTGGCTCCTTTCACTGAGCACCAGCTCTGTGTATAAACGCAGGGAGGTTTGTTGGGGATTCATAAAAGATCCACCCGAAGGGACCGAGCGTGAGTGAGATGACACATCCATCAGATAAGCCCCAAATTCCTAGTGTCCAAAAGTTGCAGGACCGTTCCTGCTGTCCTGCATAGCAGCATCACTGCCAGTGAGGACCGCTGCAGGAGGCAACTGTGCAAGAGATGCTCTGGGGAGTGTCTTTTATTAAGCCACCAGTATGCAAAAAGGCTTGAGTGCTCCCTGCTACAGAAGCTGCTGATTCTGCTCCTCTAAAGCCTGTGAGCTTTTGCTGGTGAAGGTTATTGCTGAGTGCTCTTTGTGCAAAACATTGCAGCCTGGCTTTTTTAGCCTATGGGGGCTTTTGAAATGTCTTCGCTGTGATGGATTAGATAACTCTGATATTTTTTATTTATTTATTTTTTTAGTCCATCAAAATAAATGCTGGTTTTGTCCTACAGTTATTTCTCTTTTTGGTATTTTTAGAAATTGGCATATCTCTAGTTGTACATTTGGGGCTGGGAAAAGGGATATTTTTAATGGGATGTGTTTTCTGGACCTAATGAGGCAGCAAAGAAATAAATGACTTTTTTTTGTCAAAATACAGAGGGGTATGAAAATTACAAGTGAGATTAGTTACCTTATATTTTCCTCTGTGTGTCTTCCATACCTGTGTTTAACCAGAAAAACAAACAGAAGCTTTCATGTTTCCAGATTGTTGGGTTTTCTTGGGTTTTTTTAATTGGAGAATTAATATTTCAGAGTATAAATATTTCACAAAGAATGGAATATTCTACTGTTGAAGGGAATATAGTTACAGGAATGTGTAGCTAAAAGGCTTCCCATAATGAGAATTAAGAATTGCTGGGTAGGATGCTGCAGTCGTTTGCTGTCTGTGATTTGCATGACAACTAAAATAAACATGGGGGTTTTCTGAGGTCACAGTTATGAGTTTCTGCCTCTCCCTGACACTGCTCTAGTATTTCCACATTGGGAGATACTGTGGTTTAAAGAGCTGATCTGGCCAAAAACTCATCACTTCTTTCTTTTTTTTCTTTCTGTCATGCTAGTTTCTGGCCAGCTCATCTCCCTGAGCTGCCTGCTGCAAAGGCAGCTGCGCAGGGCAGCAGGGAGGCAGAACCATCAGCCCCAGTTTGGGTCAGATCAAGCTGCTGTCAGACTGGATCCTGACACTCTTCTTGATCCGTTACATCTGTTGTTTTGAGGAAAAAAAGCTGTTCCCTGCCATACCAGGTGGTGCCACACCCATAGCCTGTGAGAGACCGGGTGCAGGTTAAGGATGGCTTGGGAGCGCAGAGGAGGAGCACAGCAGCAGTGTGCAACTGACTGTGGCTCAGCAGAAGGGTGAGCCGGAAAGGATGCGATGCCCATGCGACAGGGACCACAAATGGTCCTGTCACTGTGGAAGTCAGAAGAGAGCATCATTAGTAGGTGCAGTGATTTACAAATCACTTTGCATCCTACACTGTTTTAATTTATTCATACGCCAGATCTTCCTGTATAACAACAGCTACAAGGACAGACCCTGCAAACAACCACAAAATCTGAGCTGAGTTGGCAAACGTTGCCAAACTAGATTGGCATGAAGAGCGGGCAGGATATTATGGTAAAGATACATCCTGACCAGAGGAGATCAGCAAAATAAACTGGTCCCAGTCCCCCAGGTGAAGGGAGTCTTGGTTACTGTGCCTTAGCACTGGTTCAGGCACAGCAAAAGGTAATATGAGCTAAAGCAGCTTTAAAGTGCACAGTGAATCCTAAATAAATAAGAGGTTCATTACAGATTGCGTATTAATGAATGTGGACATGTTGTCTCTTAAACTGGGTTGATGAGTTGCAACAGCGAACCTGCTTTGGGTGTCCTCCAGCCTGCTGGTGCTCGAGGACAGCATTGGCCTGCCAAGGTGCGCTCTGTTGCGGTTTGGTGCTTTTTAATTGCATCTTTAAAACTTTATCAACCGGTTTGAAGGTTTTATTCACTAGGTTTCTCTGCTTGCAAAAATTAAAACAGGGCAGATTGCTTTTCCCTTATAAGCCAGCTGAAGTGTTCCCTCTGGTTGCCTTTCAGATGGAATTCTGTATTCGAGATTATTAACAACAGAAGACAAAAATAGTTGGGTGTGTTTTTGTTAAATCTTAAAAATTTGTTAGATCAAGAGGTACAGGAAAATGTAGTGATAAGGCCTGATGGTTCATATTTACCACTTCAATTGTATTATTTGGGGTGTTGAAATTAACCCTAAATCAAGCATTATAATTTGCAAAATTCAGATAAAAGGTTGCATGCAAAATCCAAACATGCCTATTGCTTTGAAATGCCCAAGTAAGGCACCATCCTATTTCTGCCCTGTAGTGACCATGTCAGCTAATGATCATGCAGATGGCATGTTAATGTTACAGGATCGGAATATCTGAATCTGATTTTAAACATATATTTACTTACCTTGCCTCTCTCCTTTACCTGACTCTGAGGTGATTATGGTTTCTTAGATGGACTAATTTTAACTTTCTTCAACTCTTAGATTTCTTAATAGTTTACCTTTAAATCTGAACTTCCGTTATATGTTATTCCTGCCTTCAGGATAAATATATCTCTGTAGTGCTGTTTATCTGAAACTGTTGGCCTGGACTTTGTTTTTGTTTTGTCTTTTAAGATTTTTTTTTTTTCTTTGTGAATTCCTTTTCTTGTTTCATTGAAACTTGATACTTGAACACTGAAAAGGCACTAAAGGAAATTCTGGATGCTATCTCTAGTAGTTTAAAAAATATTTAATGTGTTCTGCTGTTTTAAATTTTTGATCTTGCAACAAGTTTTCCCATACCCTTGCTTTTTTTTTTTTATGCTCAGGAACATGGAAGAATCCTGGGATTATCCTGGGGTTTGACACCAGTTTACAACCATTCTGCATCAAAGAACAAAATAGGCAGACATTACAATTCAGGTTTCTTTTTGTCCCTCATCATGTGCATTTGCTCTTGTTTGCAGCCTTGTCCCTTCCTTGTTGAAGTTGCCTTCTACCATGGAGTAGCTTTTTAAAATAATTTTAGGATTGAAGGTCTTGTTAATAAGAAAGCTCATCTTGCAGCAGGGCTGTAGAAATGAAAGTTCATGAGATGTTCATGAAGAATTGTAAAATACCTGCTCTCTCCTAAGAGAATTGGTAGAGATGCCTTAAGGCTGGGCTTCCCATCACTGTGCTGTTAGGGAACCGCTGAAGTTGCATCATTCTTGGAGATGCCGGTGTTGGCTCTTGTGCTGTTGGTTAGTAGAGAAGTATGAAGTGGAACAGAAGTCAGAAGGCTCTGGCTGCCTTTCTAAGCAGTGGTCTTAACTTAATTTATCTTGAGAATGGTAGGTGGTAGCAGCTATTCTTGGAAGGCTGAGGGAGGCTGTTGGCCATCAGCATCTGCTAAAAGGGCATCTTCCAGTTATGAGAAATTAGAATATTAAGAAATAACCATTAATTAGAAGCATTTTGTTCATGTACAGGATTACTGTGAGTGTTAATTGTAGGGA